ACTGGGCAGCCAGTAACTCCGATAGACTTTACTAGGAGGTGTTCAAAGCTAAAAGCTACATTTTCCGATGCAGGGGTTATTCCGTTGCACTCTCTCCGAGTCTTTGTTGTTAAGCGTTGTCTGTTTGTTGTTATTCAGTCAATTTTTATTCATGTGGGGAATTGTTAGAAAATAATAGTTTTTGGTGACTTTAATGCAATATTAAAGTGGGTGCCAATCCTCAATTGAGGTATATTAAAGTGGCTTTAGATTCTTTGTAATGAAATCTTTATACCACAAAAAGAATGACAAAAAACCATTAAATTTGAATGAAAAATTTACTTATTAAGTTCGCTTCACGAAAGAGGTGTTGGGAAAGGTGTGAAACCTTCTATCTCACATTGATTGTAGAGGAGAGTATTGATGGGTATTTAAATCCCATTTTTTGCCTAAGGGTATGAGCCCTTGGGGGCATCCAAATTTTTTGAAGGAAGGAAGTTATGAATGTTTCAAGGATGGACTTAGACCAAGACTATGGTCTAAGTTGATTATGCAAAAATTGCCACACGCCCGTGTTGCCCGCACCGCCAGGACTAGGCGGGTCCGGGTCCATGATCTGTGATCCGTGAATCTTGAATCTTGGGCTTGGGCTTGGTCTTAGGCTTGAGGCTTACTGGATTAAGTGTGGGGGTTGGGCTTAGACTACCCATCTTAATTTTTTTTGGCCAAGCTAAATCCGTGAGCTGCAAGAATATATACACAAAACACATGTGTAGAATAGACCTGGTAACTCCTCTATTCATGATAGACTGTAATCCATCAATTTGCAGAAATTAAATCTTGCATTTGTTGCAGGGGATTTTCCTCTCTCCCTCCATGTGTATAAAAGGAGACCACTTTCCTTCATTCTTCAACTCCAGAAATTCTTGCTCTCTATTTTTCCTAAGTTTTAAATTCTTCCTAGTGAGAAAGTGCTGCATGAGTTTTGTTCCCCGAAGCTACATAGTTGGTGCATTGCTGTAGCTAGTCTAACCATCGTATCCTAAGAGATAAACGTCGAAGAACCTCCATCACTCAATCGGTGAGGGGGCAAATCTGTTTTAAGGAGACTGTCTAGTGCAAGTTTCAGTTTGCTTCATTTTGTAATTTTACTTTATTTGGTGTAAGAGAAGAAAATAGTGACAAAAGGTTACATTTATGTGATTAGGGATATGAAGGTATGGTGACCACTATTAGATCACTTGCTAGAAACACAAGTGAATTTTCAATTACTGTAGGGTTACACTAAGGATCAACCATAAGTCCCTATCTTTTTACTTTTGTTATAGATGAGTTGACGAGAAATATTCAGAATGATGTGTCATGGCATATGCTTTTGCAAATAATATCGTGTTAGTGGGTGAGACTAGAGAAGGAGTTAATACTAAATTGAAAATTTGGAGAGAAGCACTTGAATTTAAAGGATTTAGGATAAGCAGAACTAAGACAGAATACATGGAGTGTAATTTAATAACAGTAACAATGGAAGCAGATGAGAAGTAAAGATTGAAAACCACGAACTACCTAAAAGTGAATATTTTCGTTATTTATGATTGATTATCACAACAGCTGGGGAGATTGGAGTGGATGTGGTCTATAGAATTAAGGCGGGGTAGCTTAAGTGGCGGAGTGCGTCTGAGGTACTGTGTAATAAACGAGTACTTACTAGACTAAAAGAAAAGTTCTATAGAACGGCTATTAGACCAGCGATGTTATATGGGTTGAAAAGTTGGGCAACTAAAAAACAACATGTAGGTAAGATGAATATTACTGAGATGAGGATGCTAAAGTGGATGTGTGGCATGACTAGAAAAGATAGAGTTAGAAATGTATATTCAAGAATGGGTAGAAGTAGTATCAATAGAAGATAAGTTGAAAGAAAATAGATTGAGATGGTTTGGTCATATACAACAGAGACTAACAAAGACAGTAGTAAGGAAATGCGATACAGTGACGGTAGATGGAAGTGTTAAGGGAAGGGGCAGACCTAAATTGACGTGAACTAGGGTAGTAAATAGAGATATAAACCTCCTTAATTTGATTAACGAAATGGTCTTGGATAGAATCGAGTGGAGAAGAAGAATTCATGTAGCCAATCTCATTTAATGGGACTTAAGACTTGGTTTGCTATATAAAGTGATCATTACCATTATGATTCACGATTTACAATTCACAATTTGACAATAATAATCACACAAGATAGCATTCTTTACGTGGACAGCGGCGTTGGATAGGATTCTCACTATTGATACTCTTATTCGGCGTCGGTAGATTATGGTCAATTGGTAATGTATGTGCTGTAGGGATGCGGAGTCGGTGTCGCATCTTCTTCTTCATTGTTCGATTTGGGTGTTGAATTTTTCTTTGTTTGGTGTGATTTGGGTACAACAACAAAGTGTTGAGGCTGTCCTTCATAGTTGTAGAGGGGGTAGGGTTGGAAAGAGGAATAGGAAGGTGTGCGCTTTGGCACCTTTGTGTTTGATATGGATGATTTGGTTAGAGCGTAATCGGCAAGTTGACTGTAGATCGCTATGCTTTAATAAAAATGAGTCAGAAGTAAGGAGAGTCGTCCAGGGAGAAGAAGAATCAGTGACTCATTTGAAGGATCAATTTTTAGTGTTTCTGTATAGTTGGGTGTCGAGGAGAGTGTCCCTAGATTTGTTTGGTTTTGTGGATTTTATAGATACTTTTCTTGCTTAGTTTTTGTTTTTCGGTTGATTCTTTGTCGGTTTATTTGTTAATATTGCCCTGATGCTTTTTCGTTAATAATATTGACTTTTATTTATCAAAAAAACAAAAAATTTGATCACACATTTCAAAATTTCCATAAAAATGGTAGAAAAAATAGTATTGATTAAAATGAAAGTGATCGGTCTTGCCTTTGGTATTTCTTGACAAAATGAAGGTAGTTCCGTCAAACAATGATTGTTCTCATCATCTTGGCACTGTGGCAGGTTCCAGCAAGTATGCGGCCCCTAATAGAAACATTGCCCGTGAATAGACATTTCTTGTCAATATACGTTCCTGCAAACATGGAAGACATTGGGATTAGTTACTAGTTCTAATTTGATACAAATTTATATTTTTTTGAAAATTGGTTGGAATGTGTTCGTATTTAATTACTAATTGATGTGAATCTAGAAGACATACCAGAGCAAAGAGTAACAAACAATTCTAATTCCCTTATTTCATTAGAGTAAATTTCACTTTACTCCCCATGGTTTGGGCCATGTGCACAAACCAAGTGATTTGTGGACTAAACACACTGCTAAAATCTAGTAACAACGTATGTAAATGGACCTAAATACTCTCATAATCTTATTCTCTTCTAAATTAAACGTCTCTATATTATATGTACGTATACCTCTCTCATTTTTAACTCATCCTCTTCTTTGCCGGGACCAACAGCATATAACTACCGACCCATCAAGTCAACTTCTAAATTTGCAAAATAATCCCGACATTAAGAAATAAGCACATAATCCCATGTGATTTGTAAACTAAAACACACCCTAACATCTGTTAACGACACTTGTAAATAGACCTCAATACCCTCATCTTCTTACTATATTCTGAACTAAACATTTCTATATAATATAGACATAAGCATACATATGTAAACTTTTCTATATAATATAGACATAAGCATTGTTACCATATTCTGAACTAAACTTTTCTATATAATATAGAGATAAGGATACATATATAGTCTCTCTCTGTGTCTCACACACACACACACAAGCTTACTCAATCATAGCCTATTTAATTTAAGTACATTTCTAAACAAATTTGTGATATTCACAAAAATATTATTTATTTTTTGGAGTTCTAAACAATACACAATATATTTATTTTAGTACCCTGAGATTTGAACAAAAAAAATATATTTACGCCCTAGCATACCCACAAAAGTACCCAACACGTACCCATGTTGTACAAACATTCAATTTTTTAAAAAGTAAAGTTCCGGATATGTATTTTGTGTACGCAACACGCACGTAGCTGTACCCGTACCCATACTGGATACATACAACCCATATAAAGACTTATGATAACATATAGATCAATAAAATTTATGGCATAAATATAAATTTTTGATGTCAAACTCCATCTTTAACACCAAAAACATTTCACCATAGATAATGGAAGTTTCAGTCCTTGTGAAATAAGAAATATGAATGCTAACAACAATGCTAAAAGAGGTAGAGCAAAATTTCAAGCTTAGAGTCAAACTGCATAGCAATGTAATCATAAAAAGAACGACTGTTGACATCATTCAAATCGTGGACATCCACAATGGCAGAACTCCTTGTATTGGATTCACAGAAAGAACAAAGATGGGTTTAATCCTTAAACTTATTATTGAATTTAGACCCATTTAAAAAATTAATTTGTGATTATATTTCAGTTTTAAACAATCATTACACCAGAGTTAGCCTTTAACGGCGGTAACAAACCGTCATTAATAGGTATATAACCGTCACAAATACTTTTAATAGTGGTAAGATGACAAAAATGGAAACCGTCATCTATATAAGTGTCGGGAATAATATAAAGGCCGTACTATTACCGCCGTTAATAATAATGGCAGTATCTATGGTGGTTATTAACAGCCACATAAAGAATTCGACGTCTATAGAAATTAGCAGCATTTTTTGTAGAACCGTTGTAAATGTAGTTCTTTTAACGACGGTTTTTTCAAGGGAAAGATGGTTGTATAATACTGCCACAAAAGATGTCAACAATTAATGACAGTAAATAACTGCCGTTAAATATATTGTAAAATTAAATGTGACTTTCTATTAGTGACGAAATTAAACCGCCAGTAATTGTGAACCATTTGCTAAACTGATTTTGTTTATACATTTATATTCAATACCTGTTAATGTACTCAATGAAAGTCATTCAATAGAAGTGTATAACCGATTAAAGCTTCCATACATTCAATATTATATCCATAGAAACCCATACACCATATTCAGTATTCAAAATCTATTCCAAAACACATGTCACATGTAGCAAAGTTCCAAAATACATGAAACACATAGCAATTAGTTCCAAAATACATTTCACTTGTAGCAATTAGTTCCAAAATATTTGTCTCAAAACGCAAGTGCCAAAATAAAAGTCCCAAAAAGCATGTGCATCATTTACATGGTCCATTTAGCTCCCTCAATCTGCAAACACAGCAACTAGTTCCAAAATGTTTGTCTCAAGACACAAGTGCCAAAATAAAAAGTCCCAAAAAGCATGTGTATCATCAACGTGGTCCATTTAGCTCCCTTCAATCTGCAAATGTAGCAACTAGTTCCAAAATATTTGTCTAAAAACACAAGCGCCAAAATAAGAGTTCCAAAAAGCATGGGCATTATCTACATGGTCTATCTAACTCCCCTCAATCTATAGTCTGCAAGTGGATCCTCAATCTGCACATGTATAAAAATTTAACTACCACTAAGATTTAAAAATATAATAAATATAGTATTAGTGAATGTGCATTACATCAACTGAAGGCCAAGCTACACATTTGTGAAGTGCATCTCCAATTGTTTTGACACCTTGATGACCTTTCACCAAATTTTGACGAGGCTTTATCGCCTTCGTAATATGAACTTTCCATTATTCTGGCCCCAATCGTTGTCCATCAACTATAACAACACTCGAGGGCAAAGTTCAAATGAAACTATGAAATTTGTGGCATAAGCATGACAATTAGATCAACAGCATAGCAATTTAGCATCTAAAATTTTCACACATAGTTTGAAGACAATGTCTTAAATTCTGGAGAACAATCATCATTTTCATAAAAATTAAGATATATCAAGTTCATAAATATGAGAGATGAGATAATAAAATACTGATTGCCTTGACAAGAATGCTCATTCAGACCTGGGCCGCACATACAGCAGCATGACCCGCATGAGAGTGAATGTCATTCAGGACATTGGTCTGCAAAAACAGTGTTTCTGTCAAAAGTATAGGCATCTACAACAAGAAACCTAAACTTAAAATATAGATAGAGTTGCATACAGCTGGAGCTTCTTCAATTATTTTCTGATGTCTTCTCTGCACACTGCAGTCTCTTTCGTATAAATGTAAGATGTTGCCATGTTTGTCCCCAAATACCTATAACATTAAGCAAATTCAGGAACACTCAATGAATCGGTACATAAGTCTTATAGACATATGTTTCTTATAATGCCATTAAATAAAAGTATCAATGCATCATCTACAGATTTTAAACCCAAATATAAATAAATAAATAAAATTAAGGAAACTGGGTATGATATAGGACATGCTGAATTTGACAGATAACATTACTTTAGTATGGATGAATAGAAACAAGAGACGTGTAAAAATAACAGTATCTGGACTTCAATGTGTCTTGGCTGTGTGATATATTTCTCTAGCAAGATTGTATTTATGCCAAAAGAAACAGTAGCCTCACATTGTGCCCCCAAGAATGAGTCAACAAATTCATTTAGACTTTGCACAATCCTCAAACCCTGAGAATGACACATATCTTGAGAATTTCATCTCAAACATAATTGATGTCCATATAACAAGGACACTCCTATTATGACCTTTGCTAAGCATGTTGTTAGAGGTTTGAACAAAAGTTGCACTATATAATTGGAAAATCTAGAAATCCCCTAGATATTGATTTGTGATTGTGTATCAATTTTAAGCAGTATATAACAATCCCAATCAAACAATCAAGACAAATCAACACAACGATTTTAATGTGAAAAAACCACAATTGGAGCACCTCCAATTGTGATAAAAAAAACCATGGGCAACAGCCACAAAACAATCCACTAAGAAGATATAAAGGAATTACACAGGTATACTCTCAATTACTTAGCGAATCCACGCCCGAATTAAACCAACCCCTATGTGCCTCTTCCAACCCCGTCTTCACCTCGAAATTGTCTTGACGATGAGCTACTCTAGAATCTACCAAAGCTTCAGGCTCGAATTCCCCAAAATCTACTGAAGAACAACTCTCTCTTTTGTGTAGAATAAACAAACAAACATTTGATGTATGCTTCTTAAACCATGAGTTGAATACTCAATGAAGCATCAAAGAAAACTAGCAAAATAGCCCCAGATATAAACCCTAGAACCCAAGAAGAAGATCTGGAGGCGTAATTCTAGATTTGGACTGAAACACGTATTTATAGAAATCTGTCCCGCGATCTCCGCTCGAGCGTCAGATTGGCCGCTCGAGCGGACCTACGCTCGAGCGCGGAAAGTTCCGCTCGAGCGGGAAAAAACAACATCCAGTATTTTTGCAGGCGAATAAACTTCTAGAACTCAGAAGCAGACCTACGCTAGAGCGCGGAAAGTTCCGCTCAAGCGGGAAGAAACAACATCCAGTATTTTTGCAGGCGAATAAACTTTTAGGACTCAGCATTCTCCGCTCGAGCGGGGGAACGTTCGCTCGAGCGCACAGGCAACTTGGAATGCATTTTTGCATTTTGCTTCGGGGGCGCTACCCCTCGACCTCGCCTGGGCGCTGCCCCTGACCCACCAAGGGACGCTGCCCCCTGGACCCCCGCGAGCTAACCGGGCAGCTCAATCCCCGTCATAATTAGCGAAGTGGCAATCTTGAAAGAATTAAACACCACAAACTTCTCTGCAAGGCACGATTCGGGTTGGATTCGCATCTAATAAACTCATAACCTCACTAAAATAAAAGTGCAAAAACAAGTACAACTGAAAGGAGTTTTGTCAAACAGGATTGCCAAGAATAAAAACCTAACAATAATATTAATAAAGAATGGAAGAAACGTGAATATACAAATATTGCATGAAATGTTTACTTTGATAGGGTAGGTGTAACTTAGTTGAAGCTAGTAAACAAGCATCGAAGAGGAGCTGACTGTAAAAGGGGGAAAAAAAAAATACTATAGACTGCAGTAAAGCCTTACAATTGTTTTTTCTGTTCTATTTTCCCGTAGTTTATATACTACTCCTGCTTTGTCATACCCAGGCTTGTTCTAATCTACAGTGCATACGACATATTACTTGATGGCCTCCCATATTCAAGAGAGTATCAGAAAAATGTTCGGAGGGAACTCAACAATCGTCACACCTTCCCTCCACCTCTATGAGTTGGCTTTATCAAAATAGGATATCCAATCTTGTCTGTTTCAGACTTCCTAAGGTCAATATCTTGTTCTTCACCATGATATACAGGCACAAGTGGCAATGAAGATAGAGGAGATGCAACAACAAAATATTCATGCTACTAGAGTTATTGCTTTGCACTTAATTTTTAATTTTATTTTTTTAAAGAAAAAAAAAAAGTTAACACTAATTCTTGACATACACAAATCCTAAAGAACAAATGATGAATGAAGAATAAATAGAAAATAGAAAAAGGAAGACACAAATGATGGAAGACTCTACACAACAGCTCAACTTTAATGAAATTTTCAGCAAGCCATACACGCACCTAAATAATGAGAAATTTGGATAACCAGCAACATGGTCTACATTGGGCATGGGAAATGAATCATCCCTCAATGATGAATGTTTTTCCCCAGCTAGAGAGACCACATGATATATCCAACCAAAAATAATTCCATTGAACCATTTATAAAATTTTCAACGAGACCATGCTTGTACTCTTAATCAATGTCCACTTTTAGTAACATAATATGGTAAACCAGCATATTTTACTTTCAAAATGTGTGTGTAAGCGGCGATAACTCAATCGAGATAGAGACTTCACATGGAAAGCATAGCACCCCCAAAAATGCAATTCTTTAGTTGGCTAGCTTTGAAAGGAATAGTTAAAATCTCAGTGTTCTTGCAAAGGATTGGGGTGTTAGATGCCAATGTCAACACTTAGTGTTTGTTCTGCAAAACAGAGGGAGAATCAGTGGATCATGTATTATTATTTTGTCGATTGGTTTGGAAGCTTTGGTCAGATATGGTCAGTTGGTGGGAGCAGTCATGGGCAATGTCTTACATGCAGAGGACTATGCCATTTGCATGAACTGCCCATTTGTGATTTTAAAAAATATAAAGTGATTTACTCTCTCATTCTCTCTTGTTTCATTTTTCTCACGTACGGTATAAACAATGGCTTGCTGAAGTTCAATTTCTCGGTGTTCTCGATCACCCTAAGCTTCTAAAACTTCTAGGATACTGTTCTGTGGATGGGAAAAGAGGGATACAATGTCTATTGATATATGAATACGTGCCCAATAAGAGCCTAGAAGATCATCTTTTCACCAGAGATTAATAAATTTTAAAATTTGTAGAAAGACATGATTAAAATGAAGGAAAGGAATTAATCAAGATGTTGCTCGGAATTCAGAAAAGAATACATGCAAATGACAAAATATATGATCCATTAGCCCAAACAAACCCTTAAAACCAAACACACCATTACCCTCCTACTCAGATTACATGTAAACAAGATAATAAACAACTACCAACATCCACGGACACATGTCCGGATCACTATACAACAAGGGTAAACCCGGGATCGCTATAAAAACC